AAGGCGTCAAGACAGTGATAAGACCGATTGATTTACTGAGGTGATATTCGGTAGTAAACAGAGGCGTACATTCCGTTTCTGTGAGGATATACAGGATAACGGAATAAAACTACCTATACTTTTCTCATTAAGTGTATAGATATACCTTTTAGGTACATATAACGTAAGGATAAACGTATTTTTTTCATTATTTTTATTATTTAGTATGGCGATTAACATTACAAGATGTTATCGTTCCCATCAATTTAAGATGGTTGAACATTTAAAAGAAAGTACAAATTTTTTCAAAATTGTAGGTATTTGTCTACATAGTACTTATGTGTAAGTTTTCGCGGTGCGAAAAAAAATAACCAATAGACATTTTTTTAAATTTCGTACAAAACCATTTTGGAACGTAGTAATAATTCTACAATACTATTTTTTTAATAAATTTTGAAGTACATTAAAATTCTTTACGCCTTTGGTGTGATTAAATAAGTTTAAAAAAGCGTTTTTTCGTTCTCTGCATATGGATGTTGGCTCGGCCTGCGGTATCATTATATTCATCAGCTTCTACACATCTACGAAGGTGTTGTGCTGGCCTTAAACCAGAATTTTAAATTATCCCGGTCCACAAATTAAGATAAATAAGCCATATTGATTATTTTTATAACTTGGAATTATAAATTTTGTGTCACACCCATATATAGGTTATTTGTCACCTATTGGAAGGTGTAAGTATCATTGGGAACGCTTATCCAAGGAATTTCTGTAAGCGCTGCTGAGTTTTATAGGCTTCCGAAGTGGTGGGCAGATTGTGTTTTTTATAAGTGCTATAAAGCTAATAGTTTAAATTTCAGAAATATTTTGTTCCTATTCTTTACAATCCGTAGTTGAGATTCATTCCACGATTAAGGCTACCTACTTTATGAAACGCAAACCATAAAAATATCATTATATATTTTTTTGTAAATAGTATACTATAATTTAAACATAGAAACCTACCCTTTGCTACTAGTCGCACGCTTATAAAAGAAGCCCTTTCTATTTTAATATTTAAAAAATGTTACAATTGAAATGAATCTGTTCTTATTAAATTGCTACTTAAGTGATATCTATCAATTTGTTGCTGGAGGGGTAACTAAATCGTTAACAACAAAATATACTTATACATATATGCTTTTGTACAGGCGCTAAGAAACACTGTCTATCTCCAAATGTTGACGTGGGCAGGAACTACATAAAAATAAATTGTATAGATCAAGATAAAGCTTTAGTAGGTTTAACAATACCAATCGAAATTAATTCATTATAGCTACAACTACTTAGTACTTTCACAAGTCTTCTTAATTAATAGATAATATTTACTAGGCAACGCGTTTAGTATTTCTTAAATAGGTATAAGAAAGCAATATATTAAAAAATATATACTCAATATGCTTTTAAGGTAAGGATTTGCATTCATTTTCCATAATTTACTCAATTGTTATCTTAAACGAAATGATCAACGTATAAGCACGGTTATTTTAATATATTCCGTTGGCATGATTGAACACAATATTACCATATTAAAAAAAAACTAAAATTTATATTTTACATAGTTATTTCTATGTTTACTATGTCTATTATAATACAAATCATAAACATGTCCACAAATACCGTGAAAAGCATGAGAATCTGTTAATAAAGAATATTTTCCTTAGATTTACATAATCTACTGGGCTGCCGCTTACCTCAAATTATAGAGAAATAGTGATAAGTATATTTTTCTATACTTTTAATTTACCTTCAAAGACAAATCAAATATAGGTATAGTGTGTGATGTATTAAAATTGTGCAAGAAAGGGAAACCTTATAAAAACAATAAATTCTTATAACTTATAAGATAAGAGACGGTATCAAAATGATTTTTGTAACTGTTTCTTCACGCCAATTGTTAACTTGTTCCACCAACGTTTTAAAGAACGAGTTACTTACATGTTAAGTACGACTTTGCAAGAGTTAAAATGTATCGGTAGACAAGCTTAATAAATCTTCATCAAAAGAAAAAGCTCAGGTAAGGGCGTATACGTAATTTTGGCCCACACAGAAGTCAAAGTAATTAATACGGCGATCATACCTGTGTTAATGTGCCATTTGATGATTAAAGTTGCGGCTGCTTTGTGGCAGCGCCATCTACGTAATAATCTGTGCCTCGAAAGTGACATTTATAATTAATTTAGAAACCCACGAGTTTTATGATTTATACCGTCGCAGCCCGTGAAAAAGAATTGTCGAAGTTAAATTGCATTCGGTAAAGAAAATGCTCAGTTACAGAGAATTGTTGACGATTGAATATTTCAATATTCCATCGGCAATTCAATTTCAATCTACAGTATACTTATATACAGGTATACCTAGAAGTTTCTCGCCTCATCTCTAACTAATATCTTCATTAAAGTAGGAACAAGGTATAATATAGCTATAGTTATTTCAGAATGCTGTCTGTAGGTATTATGCGCAAATATTGTTGTCCCATTTATTTATTTTATTTTCACTCCTTAAATTCATTTCTAATTATGTACATGATGATATCTAATTACATATAGAATAGGAAAATGCTCACCTGAGCATACCTGCATTCCCATAAGGTTATATAAAAATTTAAACTACCGACTTTTTGGTGCAAGAGCATTGACCAACAATCTTGTCCGGTTCTTTATGACCACTCGATAGTTTCTTGTTATGTTAACGTTATCGACCTACAAGTATTAGTTCTGATCGTAAATCGGCAAGCTACCATCTACTTTCGACACTCCTTATTGTGTTAACATGGCAGAGCATATTGAAATTCCACATTTATTTCGAAACGTTACATCTACGTTTGAAAATGCTTGTTCACTATACGTCAATCCCTTTGACGTTCTATTCTTAATAGGTATCTACTTCGGCATGGTGTAGAATATTATTAGTTTTTACTCTCCTTTTTTAAAATTTGTGTCATTTATCAGGTGCATAAAAAAAATTATCAAATATTACAAAAATGTTTATTTAAACATGCAAAGTCTAAATTATCAGAAAGGATGAATAAAGAGTATATAAATTATTCATTTTAAACAAATTATGTTTGTTAAATTAATACTATTTATGAAATAAGAAATCTAAAACACCTTATATTTTACAGTTAACATCCATAAAAAAAAATGTTTGCATATAAGTACGTGCATATAATGTGTAAAAAAATATACTATTATGAAGATAAATAAATATGTTAATTACTTTAAATTTTCTATTTTAAATATTACTTCCTCATTTTTTATAAATTTAATGACACGGCATATGAAACACTCCTACGCAAGGTGAAGTAATTAATAAGGAGTTTCATATCTAATATTAGATGCATAGATTACATCGTTACATTTTGTAAGCAGGTGCGAATATTAGACGTACATTTAATCAGCCATCTACATAATGGTAAAACGTTTATGATAATAAATTGTTACTTGCTAATGCGCATATGTCAAATATCTGTTTTATCTATTTTGTAGCAAGCAAAAATGTAAACATTGCATCCCTTTCATGAATACATAGTTTATAGGTACCATTATAGGTACTGAAAATTGATGACTGAGGGGGAAAACTGTTTTATTTGCAAATTTAAGTGAAAAATTTCGTTATACAAATTTCTGTGTGTTAACTCTTAAAAATATTACCTACTTATTACTTGGTAGGTAGATATATCTAACTTGTTAGATTTTCTGGAAAATTTAAATATGAAAAATATCACTAAAAGATATTAAGTAGGTAGTAGTAATGCCAAGAAAAGTTAGGATTTTTTTGTAAAAAGCAGCTTACGTAGGTTGGTAAAACTTATATTATTCTCATATCAATTATATCAGAAACTGCTTAACAAATGATAATCAATAAAAATCCATGGAACTCAGATCGGAACATCTAAAAGATCACACATTTTTTTTTTTGTAAGAAATTGCGAAAAAAGTATTTTCCTCTCAAGGCCACAATCGTGGAATATACTAATACGTATATACCTATTTAGGTAAATCCAAACTGTTTTTGTAAAAATTATAATATCACTGAAGACAATAAATACAGTAGATACCTGCGTATCTACTTTTTCGAAACTTTGATACATTTTATTCAGTTTGTGACTAGCTAATCTAAAAATATAAAATTCACCTGCCTTATAACTTATTTTATAAAATTTATGAAATAGGAAAAATCGGCAAGAAATCGTACTTTTAGTAAGACGATGATAGATCAAGAAAATCCATCTAAATTATAAAAATCTTAAAATCGTAACGATTATTATTATTAGGTATTATTTAAAGCTGTGAAAGGTCACGGAAAATATGAGCACCCATGTAAACATGGGAATGTACCTTCGCTGTTTTGTCGAGAACTTTGTAAAAATACTCAATAATTGTGATTCATGTGTGATTCACAAAAGCATCGCGCGGGGTATGATTATGTTTATAGTATACCGTACGCGATTTTCTGAATATTTAACGGGCGTGTCAAAATGTAATGTTAAACATAGAAAGAAGTAAAAATAAGTTTTTTTTTTCTTTTTTTGAATGTATTATCGGCTTGTAAACTGTCTTATACCCTGGAGAAAGCTTGTATAACTGATACAGTGAAGAGGTATTGTTTTAAACTTACTTAGATTTTCTAAAATCCTCGTCAAGACTGTTATAATTTCACTGAAAATTACGCATAAAAACGCCCCCTTCCTAACCAGCTTATAAATTTAGATATAGGTACCTACATACCTATTGGGAAAGGCCGACTTCAGCTTTATGAAACCACAAACGTTCACCTGCGTATCACATTTCTTTTTTTTATTCGATATTGGACACATTTTTTTAACACTATCATAAATTTTCCATTTTATTGTTTTCAAATCAGAATCTTAATAAGATCGTATCTGTTCAAAATTTGAATTTTAGCAAAGTCTACTCCGTAAATAGATAGAAGTATTTAGAAAAATTTAAATAAAACACATTTCACATTTCGCCACATTTCAAATTGTATTTCATTAACAATAATACTCCTTAAGACTAATGTACAATAATAACATTTTGAATTAATAATACACAATAAATTTTCAACTACTTACTTCATTAAATTGCTTCATAACACGGGTATAATTCAAACATATGTATTATCAAGTTGAAACAATTTCATTGCTAGTTAAATAATTTTTTGAGCTCCAAGGAAACGCCCTAAAATAAAAAACAATTGAATGAGCATAAATATTGTTCCTTTGCTAAAGCTACAGTACGATTTAATCTTGAACGTTTACATCTGCATAATGTACTTATACTCTTATAGTGCGCTTTATTAAACAGGTATAAATATGTACATACTATGGATTATACATAGACGGCAGAGTTAAAAACCGATCATAGCTCCCGTTAATGTAAGAGGTATGTAAAGTCGTAGATTTCCATTTTATCAACAGGTACATTAGTATGATGTTTAATTTAGCAGGTGAATATTCGTAACTAGTATTTTCGGAAATTAGTATGCAGCAACAAATCACCGTTTTTATTTACATCCGCGAGAAGGAACCTCGTTTTCCTCTAGAATGTCAGTCGAATCACAGCACGCTGACACGAATTAAATAAATATGTACAGAATATAAATAATTGTTCGAAATACTTTGGTTACATGTAGAGCAGTTAAAGCACCTAAGTGGAGAGAAAAGTTTGCATCGACCCCTTATAAACCGCGAGTTTCATTTTTAAAAATGTATATTTGACCAATCGATATTAACTGCTACAAATTAAAAGAATAAGTAGTTAAAAAAAAAAAACGTGGGTACAAGAGGTCTATCAGGTGACTTTTCACTTCACAGACTCACTCTACTACACTTCGCACACTGACACGCGGCACTTAATCCCGATCGTGCATGGTGAGCTGCAGGGGTTGACACGTAGGTGGATCAGCCTTGGCTAGTACGTCGACCACCTCTACGGGACTCGACGACCTCGATCTCATCCGCATCTCCACCGCCTCCTCTACGTCCGACTCGTCGTTGACGTTGATCTCCTCTTCTGAATCCGACGCGTCATAGTCGCTCAACCTCCGAAGGGTGTCGTGCGAACTTAGCAGCGCGTTGGGCACCAAAGCTTTGAAGGCACTATTTTCGCCCCCCATCTGCAGCAAAAGGGAGGAAGCCGTGGGGTGGGTAGTGAGATGAGTAGTAAGCGGGGAGCCAGGGGTGGAACCGCCCTTGTAGTGAGGCGAGGGGGTCAAGCGGCCGCCGAACATCGAAGACTGACTGTTCTGGGGCCCTGGCGAGGATTGTTTGAGGAGGTTCATCCGCTGGTGACGTCTCCATTTCGCTCGTCTGTTGGAAAACCAAACCTGGTTACAATGCACCGATTAGTGTGAGGTCACATTCGTTGGGACGGTCGTGAGGTCCAACAGCATTATTCGCGCAAGACAAAAGGGGCTTATTTCTAAATATTTTTATTACTGAGCTAAATTTAGATGACAAGCTAACACAAATTGGATTTTTAAAAAATTTTATACCAAATACCTATCTGGGCAGGCTAATGAAGCGATTCCATAGAAGCTAGTTAGTTAATAACAGACAGACAGACAATATGTGATTGACCTTCTAAACCAAGTCCGAAGATTTCCGCCGCGGCGCTGAATCCGATTTCAAAATTGTTCGAAAAACATTACTTTTCGCTATATTTGAGGTTGTTACCTGACTAGGTCATTTCTTACATGGGTATGGATTTCAGAGGGCTGACCTATTAAAGTTTTATAAGCCTATATACATATAAAAATATATAGACTGTATTTTTAAAGTTTTCACTTGCCTCCCGGAACTCTGTAAAAAATTATTACTCGTAGGTTCTTTACAAATAAATTAATGATATAAAGCGATTTATATTTTACTTAAGTTTGTTATTGCGATTTTTAGAGATATTTAGATACTAGTTAAAAATTTATATTGAGGAATAGGTATGTACCTAATATGTAAATATGAAAGGTATACTTTACATCTACGAACAAGATTAACCAAACAAACGTTTTAAGAATTTTGTAATATTAACTAGCAAATACTTAACCACGTTGCAAAACCTGTAATGAAATGCATCACATATGGACGTAGGTATCTATACTTCGTATTTGAGAATCAAAAATGTTTAAGCAACAAACAACGTACATAGATTTCCTTTAATGCTGGAAGACCTCTTAAGGAAAATAACACACCTGCACTCTAGCCTCCGACAGTGATGTCTTTGAAGCCAGTCTTTCCCTCGTGGATACGCACGGGTAATGACTCTTCTCGAACTCTTTTTCCAACTCCTCCAACTGGTCGGGACTGAAAGTAGTCCTATTTCTTCTGAATTTCGGTTGTTCAGAGCTGTCCAGACTAGAATCGTCTTTGTCGAGGTTTCCCCCAGGTGGCGAACCCATAAGTCCGTGATCGGGATGAGGAGAACCTGCAAAACCGTCATAGTCGGTGTTCAATATAGGTAGAGAATATTATGTTATGTTTGCCTTTCTCTTGAATAAATGAATAGATAGTAATTATATTGATTTTATTTACCTGATGATGCGGGTGAGCCTGCCATTACCGTCGCATTCGCGGCACCAGGAGGCTGCAGACCAAGAGGGCCGTTTGGCCACAACGGTGAATGCCAAGGGAAAGCTGCGGCTGCGGCATAAGGGTGGTGGTGGTATAGCCCGTAACCTGCAGCCCTAGCAAATTCTGCTGCCGCTCGTTCTGCCGCTCTGTTCCTCAGAATTCGGTTAATGCTGCTGACCGAGGGGGCTGTTGCATTTGTACACACGCCTGAAACAAATAAAGGAATTCATTGACAATATGTAATTGTAAATGTCATAACGCTCATAATTTAACGTAGATGACGTGCTTTCGCAATGGACGGACATCTGAACGTGAATTGGTCAGTTCAATTGTTGTAAACAATATGATCAGAATTGAATATATAAGAAAAATAATTAATCTACATTTAACTGTATATAACTATAACTAATAGGTATAAGTACTTAAAACTTTATAATTAAGTATTTTTGTGAATTCAGAGGTTTATAATTTAAATATCTATTAATATTCTTGACATTCAATAATTTGCTTTAAGTTAAATATGTTTTATTGCAAATTATAAGATAATATTCAATAAAGAATGGGTAATTCTTCCTTTCATTTATATAATTTACTTTATATTTGCATGAATTCAAATTAATCCTATTTTATATCTTAACAAATAATATGTTTTATTTTCGTCTAGTACTAGTGAATGTGTTTATGTGCAATCGTTCAGTCTATTTTTTAACTTGATATTGTGGGAAACAGCCATTTTCATTGATTACTTATCTAAACTCACTTAAGTTTTGGTAATTTTTTCTTGAAATATTTGTTTCTTTTTGCACGTTCCTTTTGTGTGACACGGGCATGGCCCTGTTTTTCTGGACTGAATTAATACATACGTTATAGGTACTCGCTTAAATCTCAGTGTGACTGCATAGGTACGTTTTCTATTAATTATAAAAATCGTTTTAATTATTTGTGAACTGACAATTTTTTTAGTGATAATTGATTTTGTAATACGTAAACCTGGTAAGTTTGTTTCACACTCCATTTGACATCTTTTTCTTTTTTTTTTTTTCAACTTTGAAACCTTTGATAATATTAATCCCACAACACTACATACAACGCAAAATTTAGATTTGTGTATTTTTTATATAAAAACTATAGGTACATCATAAATTTAAATTATAAATTTCCTTGATTCTCAATCCGTCTGGTAACATGCCATAGTGGTTTAAAATAATAATTATTGATATAAAGCAGTGATAACTAAACCGTAAGAAATCCATTTTTAGTTGTTTCACTTTTTTATTGTTTGATACAAAATACAATTAAAATTCAACGTGCATCAAAGGAAACATTATTTTTTAAATGAATATTACTCCATCTTTCATTATATTGAAATCATTCTATTTCAAGCTGTTTATGTATGAAAACGGTTATATAATTTACCTAGTAGGATTCGGCCAAAATTTTGGAGAAGGAAATTATTAGCGTTAAACGACACCGCGATTTCTTTATTAAACGGTAGGTATAAGAATAAGTAAATTTTTCAATAAAGTAGGTATTACTTACTACAATCTTAATATTAGTAGCTTTTTTCTGTGAACTACTGGTGATATTTAAACAATTATTATTTTTAATTTTCTTATTTTGTTTTATATTGTAGATATTTATGGATTAGGTACCTACATGTAACTGAAATCGACCTTTTGATTGATTTTCTATGATATGTCACGAAAAGAGTTTGTGCAATTCTTGTGGACCCTGTATAGAGAGCTTGATAAAATCCACTATAAATTAATATATTATAAAGCGAATAAAACTATTCCCCTTCGGGCACGTAACCTACCTCTTATAATTATAATACGACTGATGAATGATTAATAAGCCAGTATTTATCATACGAGAGCATTGATCATGATCACACTTGGATTCGACTCTCGGATACCATCAATTTGATTTGATTTATCTCCAAGTTAATTTCCTATTCATCCCTCTGGCCAGCGAATAAAAGGCTATCAATAAATTTATTTCCAGCAGGACTTACATTGTTAAATTATAGTAGCTACATCTGTAAATGTATTTGATGTTTCGTACCACGTCTAATGGTTATTTATTACATCGGAATGGAGGAGGAATTTCGATCACAAATTTTGTAACGCTTGTTTAGTGTTACAGGAAACAGAACAAGATAAAAAAATAAATGCTTCATTAAGTTTAAATAAAATTCTTAATGTCTTTAGACTTATAAAACTTTTATTTAAATTTTAAATAATATTTTAATAGAGAAAATTTAACTGATGATTTAAATCGTAAATTCTGTTTTAATGGTTTAATTCAGTGTATGAAAATTTCCATCAATCCGATGTGGACAGAAATTGATAAATTATCGAGTGTAATGTAAATGAAGTTTATTTATAATGTGTTGAAATATGTAATATTTATAGATATAGGTAAGAGAGATGCGACGCACGGTACTTTTTACAAACTGAAATCGTCATAAAAATTACAGACATTAATTACTTACAAATGGTTCCTAGAGGACTTATAAACGAGGCGCGTAATAATTATTCGACGCGGTTTTTTGCGTGCCGCTTGAAACCCAGATGATTAAATAAAATTAAAAGATACATCCTTTCCGTGACGAGCACATGACTTGTCCGTCCTGCGTGTGAATAAAAACACTTTTTATATCAGCAAAACCGCAGGTAGAAAACGAATCAATGACAATGTTTAGGGTTTTATTTATTGTTTGGGTTGCGAGACTGTTATTGTACTGTACATCCTTCTACCGCAGAACCGGAGGGTAATTATAGTTATTAGACTCTAAGAAACGGAAAAGTTTAAACGAATATTTGTATGGGTCGCATTGTAATTGTATACAGGCTTGGAGAAATGGCAAATTAAAAATTAAAGCAATTGCGAGTTGTGTGAACCATATGTTTTACGGAAAGCATAATGTAATTAAATTTTTCTGAAGGGTATTATAATTTGCGGGGTAGTCAAAGCAGACCACACGTTTCGCAGACTTTTGTGTTTTTTTTTTGTATTACTTATATTATCCGTAAGTTTTAAGGTAAGTAGGTACCTACATTACTTATTCTCTGACGTCCGGATAAAGAAAACACTCTGGAAAAAGTGAGATTTTTTTGATAACATTATATAACAGTTTATGAATAACGGATAACTTACGACAAAAAATGGACTCTGACAAAAAATTAAAATATCAGATACCTAGTGTTAAAATTTTTAATTAAGTAAACAGAGCACGTTCAGCAAAGTAGTTGTAGCAAAGTAATTGTAGGTAGGTACATAACATTTGTGATCTTCTAGTTAGCTAGTCTGAGGATGTGATCGGCAGGTACCTACTATAGATAGTGAAATCCCCGCGGACAAAACGAACAGGATTAAGTGAACATACTTAAGTATAGCCGGCAAAGTAGTTTAGATGCTAATAAATTGTGGTAGAATTACCACAATTCAACAAAATAAACATAACGGAGCTCTAAAATTATCCCAGGAATTTTCTGATTTTAAAGTAGGTACCTACGCCCATAGGTATGAAAGTAGGTAATTAATTTCTCAAAATTAGAATAGGTAAATACTTTTTAACTATAATTGTAAATACGCCTAATTCAAACAATGTCTTTAAAAGCAACGATTTTTAAAGAGTAGCGATTAAGTAACTGTAAATATATTGCTAGACATTATTTTCATATCATTTTAATAATTAAGAATATAGAGTACCTACCTATTATAATTTTTTTGGACAAATTTATAAATAAATTTTCACGATATTTTTATATTAGCATTTTTTCTCGTTCAGTCATTGAATAGAAAATATGCTAATAGGAGTAATACACTTCTGATCAATTTACATTATCTAGAAATTCACGTTGTCTTGCGAACGGCTGGGTCGACTTGCCGTATCTGTTCTTACTCCCATTCTTATTTCCCCACTATTAACACTACCATTGTATCTTTGGTCACATACCAACTTTAGCGCAACTATATTACTACGAGCCACTATTGCTTCCTACATCAACATCTTACCTTCAGATATCAATCTCTCCCGTATTTCCCATGCAAATATTGTGGGGTTTTCCCTTTTATATTGCTCAATCTTCGACACCACGGCGGGAGTAGCGACTTTCGGCTTGCTACCACCAATGAGTCCCGGCGGCCTTAGTGTACCTGTAAAAATATAAAGTTATGTTGTGTACATTAATTTGAATAAATTTTAGTTAACACACTAGTCAAAATCATTAGCTTTTACTTAGATACTTATGTAATTAGACTGAAAGTAATTTCCAAGTATCTACTTAAATTAATAATAAATCTTATTGATTAAAAAAAATGTAGGTACGTAAGTGCACTGTAAAAAAAATTTCATTCCATTTCACTCAATTTTATTCGATTGAGTGAAATTTTCACTCTATTAGTATGAGTACAACTGAGTGAAACTATTGCATCAGAAATGAGTGAGTTTTATTCAAATCAGAAATACTGCTAACTGTCAATTGAGTGACATTTGACTCTATTCTGAGTACCTAGGTATATCAAACCAATTTAGAGTTGACTTTTTCTTTAATACCTATTATTGAGTAATTTTTTACTCAGACTTGGTTTATATTTTTTTAAATTTTAATTTAAATATCATTGTAATAAAGTCATAAACTACTAAGCTGCTGCCACAGTGGTTTCTACACAGATCTGTATTAGAGAAAATATTTTAGGTCTCGATTAAAGGAATTGGTGAACTGACCGGACGAATAGATTGCCTATATTGTACTTTACAAATACATAATTAGGTATAGATAATAATTTAACGCCGTTTAATATAACCAAATATTATCGAGACTTAATGTACTATATTTAATTATTAAAATTAAATCACTGCATTTAAATACATTTTTCCGACAACAATACAATATCCTAATGGGACAGAACGATGGGAACAGACAAAGACAATGCATATGGATATGAAAAATGGTAAGATTACTCAGTAATTAGGACATTTACTCTGATTTAGATACAAGTGCACCGCAAATACGAATTTACGTGAAGAATGTATTTAAGGAGTAGGTACCTATATCTATTTGAGTGAAAGTATACTCAGTTTTAGTTTAATTTAATCACAAATGAGTAAAATGATGGAAATGCCCAATATTGAGTGAAAATGTACTTAAGAATTTCACTCAATGGATTCACTCCGAAACTTTATTGCTTTCACTCACAACCAATCGTTGTTTTTATAGTGTACTTACCTATCTAAGTAGGTATATACTTACTGATGGACTTTCATTATGAATATATGACTAGGTATGTGATGAAAAAGCCTTATATCAAACTAAACGGTTTCTATACACCAGGAAGTTACTTAAATACTTCCACTAACCTACTTCATCGAGTTTTAAGGATGATAAATAATTCGTTGTCTTAACCCACCGTTGAACTCTAATAATGCCAAACAAATTCAATTAGCTTTCGACTGTTTGCTTTAAATTTCTTTATAATGCAAACTAAATGCCACCTGCTTGATATTTTATTATTGCGTATTTGCACTAAAGAACAATAAATTTATCGAAGGACATCTGCCACGTCGATAATTTAAGAAGGGTACATTCATCCAAGTCCGTCACTTCCCTTCTTGTGTGTTTATAAATTCACGACACACTTTAACATTCCTATAGGTTCTAGCCGGCAAAAAGTTGTGTCATTATAGTGATATAAAATTCTTTTATGGACATAGCATTTCAACAGGTCTTATTATATTACCGAAAGAGCGAGACTCCAATGATTTTCGATGCCCAACTTTGATTCGTTTTGCTTTACGTGATTATATCTTGATATCTCGCGAATGAAATTGCGTTGCCATTATTGTTCATGTCAATTTGCGGAGGTTGTTTTGAAATTTCATAATTAAATTTCTATTTCCCCATGTTATGGACCTCACGTAGGTAGTAAGTATAGGAAAGTACTTTCCCGAGAAAGTACATTTAAATATTCTTTTATAAATTTAATTCAAATATACTAACTTTAGTAGTCGTATATTTACCTAGATATCATCAATCTACATTTATAGGATTCTAAAGAAGATATATACTATAAAAAAGACACCCAAATTTGAAATTAGTCTGTTTGGTAGCTACTAAGATAAAATACAAACTTGAATGGATTTAAATAAGAAATAACGTTTATCTACTTTATGTAAAAATTGTAAAATACTACTTACCTACGAATAAAACAATAACAATGTAATTTATGAAAACAATAATAATAATTTTAAGTCATCTTAGTGTACCCTATAGTATACCTTCATAAAGGTATATCTGCATGTCACCTCGATAATATTTCATTGACAAAAAGCCAATGCTAGGTAACCACTGCGTGTCAAAGGGATTGTTTGTAATACCGCTGTGAGACTGTGTTGAGTTTAATGCATTCCTATGATGCCTTTATTTGTGTAGAGCTCGGCAGTCGGGAGAAAAATCCGAAGTCGGTGACAAATCACTACCGTTGATTTTTATAGTATTGCCGATGTAAACATTGTTGGAGTCCCAATCGTATGATATTTTTTTGGCAGAGTACTCAACTTGTACAATTGAATGCCGGAAAAACTTTATTGCTTACTGTAAACATTCCTGTTTTCGAGAGAAAAGTAAAAAGCTAAGCATTGACACAATGGTTTCCTTAAATAGTGCTAATAAGACCCTTGCACACAGAATACATCAAGAAATCTGAAGAGGCTGCAAAAACCCGGCATCCTTTCTGAGTACGCCCGGGAATGCAACGCCAGATAAATATCAGGTGGCGTAATTCCATTATCAGGATGCCTGTAAATATATGGTAAAAGTTTTTATGTCACCACAAACACCTGAGGGAACTTGAAACTAGGAATTTCCTCTTCTCTTGTAGGTATCTTCCCTCAGAAAGGACATGCCTGTAATGTTTCCTGCATTTCCGACGAATACGCCAAACTAACTTCCACACACCATTTCCCGAAGAGGAAAAGATATAACTTTTCAAAATGGATTTTGAACAAAAAGAGTAGTATCTGATGCCATAAAGAAATTTGTAGAGAAAAATTATCTCCTGATAATTCTCCATAACCTCAACTATGGCGAAAACACTGTAGGATATCTATAAAACATGATGTGATTCTGAGTTTGTTCTAATTCGGATTCAGAGTGTCGAAAATCTACGGGGAAATGTAATCTGGGGAAAGTATCGTTTTAAAGGCGATAATATTACTATGAATAAAATGGAGAATTCTTATCAAGTCCGAAAGACCACTAAAATGAAATTACGCAAACCGATAAAATTCGAAATTGGGGAGGACAAATTTATAGACGAGCCATCAAAGTGGTCGCCTCGATTTACAGCTTTTGCGAATAGATTTTTTACAGTTGTTTTTCAATTGGTCTGCCGCGTGTCCTGCATCTGTCCATGTTACATTATTCAGCGAACTGCCTTTGCGGAATATTGGCGTTAAATTTTTTCGTAACCATTAATATTTGATCGCAAGGTGCAATAGGTAGATATATGTAACTTTTCTTTTGTTAATCTAAGATTCACATCCTGCCATAATATTTCACCCACTACAGAATAATAATATATCTCTAATAGATAAGTATATTTGTTTGTTGGATCAACAAAAAACAAATTTACATAAACGTGATATTAATTTGGTCTCTATCAATCGTACCTTCCAGGTTCGTATTTTGTTTTCGCACAACACGATGAACGTGATAAAACGTATTATAGGTATATTACATACATATTAATTTACCATCATATAAGTACATATATTTATATGCATACATTATGTATTCGAGTCCTGATTTTTACGTTATACTAACGATTTACTATCGGACCTTAATTTATTAAATATAGGTAAACCTAATAAATACATATCGAAAACCTAATTAGGTAGTACCTACTGAGCAATTCTCGTAAGGACAATAAATTAACGTAGTTTGAAAACTGCAAGGAAACGTTTGGTGCATGTCTGTCAAAGACACGTATGATGAAAGTGTTAAAAATTCATTATTCATAAATTTTAAATCATGCACGCGGATAAATTATACTCATCAGAAGAAAGAAGTCGGATATAATGTATGGGTAGGATTAGTAAAAGTTGTCGAGTACATCACATAAAGTTTGAAGTTATCATTGTGTAAGCAGCCTACCTATTACTTACAGCCAAGGCTTTACCTAACATGCGATCTACAAAATGGCCGACTGTCTGGGAGCACTTAATATCCCTAATAACTGGAATTATCATATCGCATTAAAATGCTATGAGGATTATTTATTTAAGCACGTTTGCTATTTTGCTAGTCAGTGTAATTTAAGCAGTCTGTAATTATACATCTATCTATTATTTATTGTTCACGTTTCAGATGTGACTCGATTTCACCGAACGCAGACTACACATAGTGGCGGATCCGGCTTAAGACATTGACTCTCTCTCTCTCTCCGCTGTGGTAAGTTTTAATTGGACCTTTACCTAATATTAAAATAATGCAAAAATCGTAAAACACTTGAGCATTGTACAAATAGAATGAACGGCGGATAATACGATATATGTAAATGGCAGCATAAAGGAAATTTTTTCTGGAATTTTTCAAGCAATACGCAACACACTGTTGCACCTACACCTACTATTGACAAAAAGTTCAAAGAATACCGCTTAATACTGATATGTATCAATTTCTCAATCTAATTTTATTAAACTAGGTATATACAATTAGTTGTAAGCGAATTCTGGAAATATCAAACGACGAAATTGTATTACGAGTAAGTATTACATTTATGTTTGTATTTGCGACACTAAATTATACGAATCGGCTTTCTGATACATATATTCCTTCTGCATTATTGTCAAATTTCAGTAAATGCTACGGCTAAATTTACGCTTTGAAAAGATATATACAAGTAGATAAGTACCTACACCATCATAGAATCGGAATTGGAAATCTTTGCTTTATCGACTTTCCTAAAGAGGTACTTTAATTTGGAAATTATAGACCTTATTCAGTGGTGGTTCTTAGTAGACCACACCAAACCTTAGACCAGAATCTCGCACACCGATACCGAGCTTGGTATTTTCTAACCCTCGCACAGCACAGGAGGGACTAAAAAAGCAAAGAAGCAGTAAAAAAAAAGCTGATCATATTTTCATAAGTATT